AGAGACAGACAGACAGACAGACAGGCAGGCAGGCAAACAGACAGACAGACAGACAGACAGGCAGGCAGACAGACAGACAGACAGGCAGGCAGGCAGACAGACAGACAGACTGACAGACAGACAAAGAGAGAGAGACCGACAGACAGACAGACAGACAGACAGACAGACAGAGAGAGAGAGAGAGACAGAAACAGAGAGAGAGAGACAGACACTGAGTTGGTGGCGTCACACATGACTAGGCCCATGAGACGCCCCCAAGAAGAGGCTTCAGCTGCCAGCTGTCTGTTGCCATGAGAATGAAGTCATCTCCAGCGGCTGAATACTAATGTAATCAATCACCTCCTCCTGTGACACGCATCATCTCAGGTGGATGTGGCTGCCTACCTCCACCCGCTCCAGTAAACTTACTGCACACATGCGCACACATTCACACACCTGCACTGGAATCAAAGGAAGGATTACAGCTGAAAACTTTTGAGGGCATCCTTCCCTTCACTAGTCATTCACCTCCATCAGATTGGCATGATTGCCGTTGATACTGTTCATAAGACATGAGGACTGTTATAAAGTAGCCTTCAAATGTGCTTCCTACGCTGTAAGGATTGATCTCAGACAGACAGACAGACAGACAGACAGACAGACAGACAGACAGACAGATAGACAGATAGATAGATAGATAGAAATATGAAATATAATCTATTTGATATATATACATAAAGAACTGTTTTAATATATTTTAATATTTTATATTAAACGAAACACATATATATATAATCTTTAAAAAATCTTTATATATAATCTTTAAAAGTTGATTAAATGTATATAATGAATACATATATACTATCTATCTATCTATCTATCTATCTGTCTGTTAATGTAATATATCAAATATTAAAATATATTAAAACACTTGTTTTTAATGACCGTTTTTTTATTCCAAACATTTGCCCAGCAGTGTAGCCTATGAGTTTGTGTATATATATGTACATGTATAATGACGTAATATAGTATTTTGTCAGATATACATATTTAAAGTACAACGAGTAACATAATAAATATTTTTTATTTAAATAAATTACTAGGTTCATCTCTAATGATGTCATGGAAACACCATTACTAAGTATCTCAGCGCCCTCTGCAGGTAATTAACAGTTAACAAGACTAGCCTAAATGTTTAATAAATGCTTTGCATTTTATTATTAGGGATAATGTATACAATATTTAATCAAAATTGCATGCACTGTAAAAAATGAACATCTTCCTCAGTATTTCTAATACAAATATCTATACATCCTTAATTCAAGACACATTTACTTGAGATGCAAACTAGACATATGAAGTCATTTTCTGAGAAATGGAACAAAATTAAGTGAGTTTATGGTTAAATCAAGAACAAACGTCTGTCAATGGGGAATCAAAACTTAACTTAAGGTGATTTTTCTAAGCCTACTAGCAGACATTTTTATTGTTTTAATAAATTCACTTCATTTTGATCAATTTCTCATAAAACAAGACTAGAAGCGCTTTGAGAGTCAGCTGATATCCCAGCATGCCCCACTGAAGTGCTTCAATCAGCCGTACTGAAACGCAGTTCATCTGTCAACACATTGAGGGATTCAGTCACGCAGGAGCTTCAACACGGATCCTCACAACAGCAGCAATAGTCATTATTCTGATGAGAATCACACACGTTTGGAACGACACAAAGGTGTATATGATGAGAGAATTGACATTTTTCCTATCAATTATTTCTTGAAGTGTGTGAGTTCTGACAGTGTCAGCTTTCATCACTTCCTGTCCAAAACCAGTGTTGCTTTTGTCAATTAAAAATGGTATTCAGTAACTGAAATAAAGTATAAATATTCAATGAAAAATTCTAACTTGAAAATCTTAAACTCTGAAAATTTGAAACGTTGCCACTATATGAAATAAGTTTAAGCTGAAGTACTAAAATTACCAAAAACTACATCTGAAATAAAAAATAAAGCTATATCGAATGAAAAGTTTAAGAATATAATGGTAATATTTCAAAATAAATAAATATGTTTGAACAAAAACGAATAAAAATGACAAAAGCACAATTACTAAAACTGCAACTGAAATAAAAAGAAATCTAAATAGAAATATATTTTTTAAATGCAATATTTAAAAAAAACTAACAAACATTTAAATAAAAATGGAACCTGCCATTTGTGCAAATAAAAAGCTTTTTTACAGCTTTAGTACCAGAAATGTCTTGGCCTGTATGAGGGACCTTTGAACATTGTCTTGGACTCTGGGGGACCTTGGGAGTCCAAAAGGTTGAGAACGCCTGCACTAGATGCATTATGGATCCAAATCACACTCACCAGCCTCCTCGACGTCATACTCCTCTCCCTCGTAATCGTCGTCATCTGTGTCCGCGTCCTCGGGGTCGGGGTGCAGGGCCTGACAGTCGCACATGGCAGAGAACATGGGCTCCACTGCACACACACACACACACAGTTACTCATCCAGCAGTGATGCTCACACTCAACTCATCCACGCTCGCTCCACACACTCACATGCAGCTTTATCACTGGGCACGAAGCGGATCTCTGTGAGGGTTCCCGAGTCTTCACTGTCGCTGTCGCTCTCCTCATCATCCGAAGCTATATCCTGCTGCTCTGCTTCAGCTTCATCTGGAAACACAATGAAGACCGGTCAGGTCAAACCTCTGGACACCAGAGCATCTCTGACGGGAAGATGATGCCTCACCGTCCAGTTTTGCATTGACCATCACATACAGGTGCTCTTCTGGAAAGGCGCTGAGATCTCGTGAGATTGCGTGCAGACTGATGGAGGGGTATTCAAGACAGAAACCCATCCCTGAACCATCAAACCATGACAGATGCCTGCGAGGACAGAGAACAGCTGCATTACATCAGGAGTGTACTATGGTAAATGTCCAAAAGACATGGTAATGTCACACTGAACATCATGCCAAGCTAATACAATGCTTTTTGTTTTAGAAATAAAACAATAAAAAATTTATATAAATATTTTGTTATATAAATAAATATATTATGCATGGTATATAATAATTAATATAACAATAAAAATTAAACAAATAATATACATAAATTATATATAATACATGTAAAATAAATCAACAAATTATTAACTATAAAAATATATATTATGTACAATAATAATAATTA